AATATTGTATTTTAAATTATTATTTATATTTTCTAAGGATATAATTTTTTTCGCTAGATTTTTGGATAAAATAATCTGATTACCTTTCTACTTAACTTATATATATATAGTTCATCCTTTTTTGAATTAAATTTATATCAATGTTTCAGGAAAATGCAAGCTAATACATTCTCGGTAACCGTTGGTCTTGCATGAGATGCATCTCGTTGATTCTTGCTGCAGAGCTTTTTTTTTGCAACTGCTCGATTCATCGATCGGTTACGCGGTTAATAAGATGATGACTCGTGGTCGATTCGAAGCATACATCTTGTGATGCGTACGTAGGTAGATAACTTATTGACGCAATTCTGCATTTGAGATGCGATGCAACAAGTGGCTGACACGCATTCTGCGCGTAATCTGTACGTTTCAACGATCGCCCGCACAAACGATCTCGACGATATCCGATCGACAGATGGATACACGGAGTAAAAAAATCGATGACTAATTTCGTTGACGTACTTTGGTTTACATATCGAGCGATAAGTTCGTATCTCTGCGTTCTGTCGCGTTATCGAAGGGATAAGTCTGCCTGTTAATATTCGAAGTTCGCGTACTAAAATAAAATTGATATTATTATATCTAATATTTTTTTAGATATATATTAATCTTGATGCAGAAAGACTATGCAGCTTTCTATTTTTAACAATTCAGTTTCGATAATTATTTTTATCGCATTAATTCACATGAATACAACAAAGCTTGATCAACTTCAAATTTTATTTGTATAAATATTTTTATTTTATTGAGAATTTTACAAAATGCTCTTATATTTTATGGTTATACATCTTATATAATTTGACATCCGTGTTGAATCGAATTACCTCCCGATATTGAATCATCCGTTAAATCGGATTTGTCATACTGGAAGTTTACGATATCGAATCACGTAAGTTTATAACTAGAGGAATCCATCAAATATTAAATTGAGAATTTATGTATATCGGTCTCCTCTCATTATAACGAAATGTCTTTATATTAGATCATATATTAGATCAAGATTACTATTTATACTTCAACAAATACATATTTCTTAATTAACAGAGAACGATAAAAGAAATTGATTAATTATACAAAACGGAAAGAAAATTGTCATAAAAATCTAATTTGTTTATTCTTCGCTCAAATAATATCATTTATGAAAATATTCTCGTAAAATCGAAAACACGATCTAATACTTTCCTATATTTAATGCATTGCAAGAACGCGTTTGTCACTCTATTTGAGGTACAAGATTCATCTCACGTGCTTGTTTACCGTGTACGCGTAATCGGCGATAAAAAAGAAAAAAATACAGAGAAAGACTCGTATATAGTCCTTGTCCGAAAGCGCACCGTCGTCAAGAGCTGTACGCACGTGGGCGCTGCAACCTTATAAGGACGCCCATAAGGAGCCTCTCTCGGCTCACCAAACCTCCTCACCTTGCCTTATCTTATCTTACGTCATTTGCCGTTTGTGTCGAATGCTCTAGCGTCTTGCATCCTCACGAAATCTATTCGCTTTTTGCGTGCAGCCAAATTCCACTTTCTCTCGTTACTATAGCATTGCTAAAATTGTTCCTACACACGCACATGCTCTTAGTAAAAAAAAAAAGATATTTATCGCATTGGTCAAACATAGAGATACATTCGAAACTAAGATAATAATTTATGCACTTTTAACGCCTTCTTAAGTATTTTTAAAGTTTACTATTTAAAAATTAATGTACAAATGTGGGTGCGATATTGGTCTCTTGTATTATTAGGTTTATCGAGAGATCCGTACTTTAACAACCTCGAAACTTCAACAGAATTCATATAGGTACCTATATAAAGAAATCGTCTCGCTTCGCTTCGTGCTTAATTCCTTCTTACACGCCTACACATATTTCGACTTCTTAGAGCACCTTTAAAGAAGTGATTGACGAAAAAAATTTGCGTTGCGCATACGTATCCCTCAAATGCCGCCCACGGTGTCGCGAACGAAACTGGAACGAGTGCGCGATAGAAAGTAAATGGGAGGCGCCGCAACACAATGGTTTCGCGGATATCTATGTGAAATTAGCTCCCCAAATAATTAAATATCTATACATCATTTTGATTGCAGAATTGGAACGAGTGCGCGATAGAAAGTAAATGTGAGGCGCCGCACAACACAATGGTTTCGCGGCTATCTATGTGAAATTAGCTCCCCAAATAATTAAATATCTATACATCATTTTGATTGCAGAATGGGCAAAGTGAACGAACAGAGTGAGTAGAGTGAAACAAGTAAACAACATTGTTCGAAAGCGTGATAATTACTGCACAGTTATGCGAAGTACCGTTTGTCGTAGATAAAATACTAATTGCTACATAGGGGTATTATCTATAATTAACCGTTTACTTTTTGAATAATACTTGTTTTACTGTTATTTCGTCATATATATAACACAAACAATTTTGGTACCAAGTGCCTTGATGATGAACGAGTGCGCGATAGAAAGTAAATGTGAGGCGCCGCACAACACAATGGTTTCGCGGCTATCTATGTGAAATTAGCTCCCCAAATAATTAAATATCTATACATCATTTTGATTGCAGGAATGGGCAAAGTGAACGAACAGAGTAGAGTGAAACAAGTAAACAACATTGTTCGAAAGCGTGATAATTACTGCACAGTTATGCGAAGTACCGTTTGTCGTAGATAAAATACTAATTACTACATAGGGGTATTATCTATAATTAACCGTTTACTTTTTGAATAATACTTGTTTTACTGTTATTTCGTCATATATATAACACAAACAATTTTGGTACCAAGTGCCTTGATGATGAGAATAATGCTTGAACTATTTTCGAATTTTATAAATTTTAACAAATTTCAAAGTATTCAGCAAATCACAAAGCATTAAAATCAAAACATATAAATCTAACGTATATAGTAATGGCGCGAAAGCGCTCACGTGTTGTCTTCATGTGCGAATATCGCGCGCTTGGATTATTTTTAACATTTGTATACGAAAGAAGATGACATAATACGCATATACTTTTATGGCCACCATACAGTTTGCAAAAGCGCGCCGGCATTTATTATATAGAGAGTATGTGGATGTAAAAGCATAACGAGTTTAATCAAGCATAATCAAGCATATCATATAGTGTTAAACATGGAGTGCAACATATATTATACGTTACGCGTCATCATACAAATCTTCATTCATTATAGTATGGTAAATTAAATCTGACATGAGAAATGTGGAATTTTTATGTGTCTAAAGAAACTTATTTTTTTTATATATTATATATATATTAATTCAAAAATATTTTACTCTGACTTTTTCTACATTTAATTTATGCGAAGCAAAATTGAGATGTAATAAAATGAGATTTGAGAGATAGAGAAAGATTAAGATTTGTTGATTTATTTGTCAGAATTTGCACTATTCCAATAGTTTCTACAAGTGCGAAGTTAATCCTGTTGGAGTAATCGTATCTATGTAATTTGCGAAAAATCCAATTTCTTTCCTTTCTCTTCTTTATCGGCGCCTTTGAATGCAACTGTGCGCAGGTCTGTACACAGTATATAATGTCTATATGCAGTACTTTGGGGCCGATATGTACCTAGTTCAACCTTGCTCGACGTAGCAACCAGCTGTTCAGTATTGGTGCCGTTGGTAACCTGGTTGAAGAGCTTTGTATTCGAGCTCGATTTCGCTTGGTCGGTAAACTCGAGTTCTCTTGCAAGTGGCGGTTCTTTGTGCCATTGTCAGAAACTAAAGAATATATTATATCAGGTGATTGCATAAGTTCGTGCCCGATTTAAATATAAACTTCAATAGATTATATTTTAGAGATAACACTTTTATTAATCAATTATATAGTCTCCATTCTTTTCTACAATGGTTTTCCAACGATCTAGAAGCTTGTCGATTCCATTTTTGAAGAAAGAACTTGGTTTTTCTTGAAAAAAGTTTGTAAGGTGGTTTTCGACAGCTTCCTCGGAATTGTTGCGTCGTAAGTTAGATAGTTGATTAGCATTAATCAGAATCGCTGATTCATTGTTATGACCATTACAAAAAAAATAAAGCTATCTCATTCTCTCTCTCTCTCTCTTTCTCTCTTTCTCTTTCTCTCTACATATTCGTAATAATTTGATAATTTCATATTTTTGACATAAATTTTTTAACCTTTTATTTTAAATAGTTTTAACATTAAGTAAAAATTAGAATTACAAAATTTATATATCTATCATTAGAGTAATGAAGATTTTAAGTTTATTATAATATTATAATTCTAAGTTTATTATTAATGTAAAATATTAGGGCTTTAAATATGGTGAGGAAAAAGATGCTTGTGACGATCATACCTGTCGAAGGAGCACGATGCGCGCATTTCCGCGATGTAACAGTCGTCTCTGCATATATACATAGGAAAGGCTCGACTTCCGAGTGCATCATAAATAAATATGGGTTGGTACCGTGTGGTCACGCACTGAGAGCCTCGAGTCACATATCACGAATACTAGATGAGCCTAGTGTTACATATCTCATAGAAGATCGATCGAGAGTCGTTCAAGATATATTTCTCTTTCAAAATTTCTGTTAAAATAATTATATTATACATTGAAATAACAATATATGATTCGAAATTATTTGTGAATATTTCTGGAAAAAACTTTAAGAAGCCAAATTAATAAAGAATCAATAAAAAATTAATGCAAAAATTGATATTTTTTACAAATACTTATATTAATTTTTAATCGAAAGTATGTACTTTTTTACGAAACGTTTCTATTATTGATATATCCATGATTAGACACCAGGAAAATTCTGCTAAAGAAGAATCGATTCCAATTTTATCAAAAAATCTGTTTATAGAGAATTGTGTATATATATATATTTCTGTGAATTTTTATTTCCTACTTATTATTGTAGCCGAGAAAGTTAGTCGCGAAAATTCGCACGGCACTGTCTAATCGTTAACGAGGTTCCGTTAATGCTCCTCATTATCGTTCGCGGTGTAATCGACGATTCGAATCGGTCGTGGCGTCAGTTCATCTTCAGCTATCGCGCGGCTTGTTCAATTCCGGTCGCGACTTTAGGCAATTTCTCATCCTGAAATAACCTCTGAATTATTTGTCGTATATCGTATACGGCCCGTTCTCTCTCTCTCGGGGATTACTGTATATCGATTATCCGAGTGACATTCGTGCCGCAAAAATCTACGCGCTGCCGATTGCGACATTAACCTTCAGCATACTAAATACGCATAGAAAACTCCAATTCAGTCAAGAAAAAACATAAATGCATTTGATAATTCTTTTATAAATTTATAATAATAATTTTTTTTTTTTGTTTATTATAAGTATGTGAATTGTACAGCAGGTATTTCTTTCTCGTTTCGTGATAATTAGATAAATTATTTTTTACATTTTATAATTACACATTTAATATACTTACTCGTTTGAACTAAAGCCGGGCGCGTACGCAGCGGTATTTTTTTCTGGCCGAATAATTCGCGTGCGTTTCACCGGGCGAAATCATCGGTATATCGTAACCGATAGCGCATAACGCACGGGCTCATCGAGGCGAGCCGAGAGATTGTTTATGAGGCCCTCTGAGGTGGGGGCCCTACAACGGGCGAAATTATTCGCCGGGCGTCATAATAAATGCGTTTATGAAACGCTGCTTGGTGAACGTTGTCAGTCGATCAGGTCGCGTCGCACGATACTGTCACCGCGAGCGGTATCGCCGCCGATTTTTCCGACAGCCACGTCGTCCAATTTGCAAACGCGCAAACTTCTGATGCGACGTTAATTATCCCGTCCTAGTTTCGCTCTATTAACCACCTCGTCGCGTTACACGCCTCGTAACAACTGCGGTCTGGTATTTTACGAGTTATATGCGCGATAAAATATGTAATCTAAATTTGGCGAAACGAAGAGAAATGCAGTTCAAGTGTTTTGTTGTACTGAAAAGATTAAAATGTGATAAAACTGTAATATAATAATTATCATATTAAAATTTTTATTTTTTCTCCTTAAATATTATTATCGTAAATATAATAGATTCTATAAAAGAGAAGATTGAGATGTATAATACGATTTATTTTAATTGTTTGTGAGCAAAAAATCAAAAGACTAAACATTCGAAAACGAATATTTTTTAAAATCACACTTAGGATTAATATTTTAATATTTGAATGTTACTTGCATATCTGTAAGCCCAAAATTTAAGCATATCCAGCGTTCTCCATGTAAGCGCGTTTATTCTTGGACCTGGAGAGAAGAACGTTTGCTAGGGCGAACAGTAAAAATGTTCCCGAAGGATAATCACCGATCGCGAAGCTTCGTCGAGCTTCGAAGACAGTGTAAAAAAAGCGACGTAAACGCGTCTTTGGATCCTAAAAGCCTTTCTACGCTTTTTTAAGATCGAAACAAAACATTCTCAAGAATTTGCTGCGGCGTCGTGCGCGAAGCGGGCAACGTCCAGATTAAACTTGCGCGTTCCTGAAGAAGTTCCCGGCGAATCGATCGCGCGAGTTGTCTACAGTCTGTCGCTGCCCTTCTATTCAATGATACTTCCAGTGATACTTTTTGTTGAAAATACGTGATAGCAAGAATATAGCACAATTCGAGCCAAATTGTCATCGATGATAAAATAGTGTGAATGTCGCTTCAATCTTTTCATTGACTTCAACAATGTAAATGGAGCGTGAACTGGTTATACAGAGACATCACAGATGGATATAACAATATAATCTGCGAGAATTATGAGAATGCAAGAGTTACATCGGAATTAATACCTCGATATTTAAGAAATCGTGGGTGATAAGATAATTTCGTATCATCTCAATTAATAACTGCAAAAAATTTAACAATTTTAAACTTAATTTTATTTAATTATATAGATAAATTATCAGATTGTATTAGAAATAAAATGTGTTAAAATTTATTGACTTTTTAGCAATTGCGTGAATGATAAAAAAGTGAAGTGTCATAATAACTAAACATAAAAATTCGCTGTATTAATAGTAATATAATTTGAGTATTTTACAAAATTCAATTTTTTTTTACTAACTTCAGTATCTTCTTTCTTACCAATTTACTGTAAATTCAATATGGATTGGTTATCTCTCTGCGTCTGTGGTACGAAGAGCAATTTAAACAATGAGAAGAAAGGCGAGAAAGGCAAAAAGAATAAAAGCAAAAAATCCAAGAAGCCATCCAAGCAGAACAAATCTCACAAAACGTCGTTGTCCTTTGTCGACGATTCCTTCCGCAAATTACAAGATGAGCAAGTTGAGAATGAAATTATTAAAAAAGAATGGACGAACGGAAAAGTTATTAATTGTTTCGACGATTGCGCGAAAAACCACGCCGACGCGAATAATTCAACCGATTTGACAAAAATTGACGATTTGTCGAATAATCGCTGGTCTTGTCAAATCAATGACGATCATGACAACTTTGAGGAGTTTTGTAAGAAATCTTCGGAAAAGAACGTGGACGAATTTGATCGGCAAACGCATGATTTTGATTATGACGACAATGCGGTATTGCATTCAAGATATGCATCGAACACAGTAGTGTTCGACGAAGATCATAAGCAGGTCAAGTGCATCTCGGACAAAAAAGAACATGATGAAGAGGCAGATTTGAACGAGTCCGTCTCGAGATCGGTGACATCTGGAGAACCCGAAGATTGGATATCGGAATTCGAGGAGAAACAGGGTATGCTCGTAGAACCGGGCTTTAATACAAAATTCAAGGAAAGAACATCGTCCAGAATCAATTTTTCTAGCGAAGAGCAAACGAAGTCGAAAACGAGAACTTCGTCAAAAGGAGAATCCAGGAACATTCTTCCACCGATCAAAGGGAAGTCCTGCACCGAATCGCGCATGGATAATGAAGAAATGCAAAGAAACTGCGGAGAGATAAATAAATTTGGTTTTAAGAGAAGCGCGGCTTTTTGCGAACAAAGCAATATTCGGCGAAAATTAAACTCATGCAGTTTCGAGGTTCAATCGTTCGAGAATGAGGAGCGAAATGGAAATACTAAGATTCGGGGTGACGGATCCATGATACCTAGACTTACATCCTCCATGCAGCAGGGGATGAATTTAATCAAGAGCGCAGGCGATAAAATGGAAATTTTGCAAAACGGTATATTGTTGAGAGTGAAGACAGTTATATATAAGATATTTAATAAAGAAAATTAAATAGAATGTTTGTTAGATAAAAAGTCTAATTTATTATGAGGCAGACTTATATATATTAATATGTTTTAAAGTAAACTTGATTAAATATTTTATACTTTAATTTAAAATAACCCATGTTCGCGCGCAAATACTCACCGGCTGAGAATAATCATTATGTCCCTATTATTGCTGCAATTGTTACATTATATATTGCAATTTTTGTTTCAGGTCGCGTTCACTCGGCAGTCGTCTCCGGTGTCAATTTAGAGCAGCGTACTGTAACTGTAGAATGGTTCGAGAGAGGAGAAACCAAAGGCAAAGAGGTAAGTGTGTGCGCTTACAAATTACTCCGTTTCATAAATACTTATAAAAGTTCAGAATCAGAGAAAGTTACAACATAAAAATTTAGTTCTTAATTTAAAAAAATAAAATTTGATTAAAATTTTTATATTAAAAAAGCAACTTGAAAAAAAAAATAGATATATATAAACAAAACTTTTAAAATAATCTATTATTAGTATTAATTGGAATAAATTTGAATTAATTAAGATAATGAATAATATACAAAATATTAATAAATCAATGATTTTCTTATCTCAATTTTTAACACTTATAAATTAAGTAGAATAATGTATCGGGAGCGTGTACTTCTATAAGGATAATCAAACTAAATTTTTTTAATTACGATTTTGTTCATTTTTTTCATGTTCTGGATTAACTAAAAATACATAGTCTTCCACAACATAGTCGCGTCTACGATTTATATCAAGCGACAATCGCGTTTATTCTAGTCGTTTATCAAAAAAATATCGCGGTACACGAACAATGTTTTCCCTTCACGCAATTTTGCCGCGTCGAACTGCAATATTTCAATTCCGCACATTCGTAGGTCACGGTTATTTGGTTATTTTCAATTCCATGCTTATGCAATGCCACGGGACTAACATGCAGCTCGTTTAATGGGAACGGGAATCTATTTCCGACAGGCTTGAAAGTCAGACTTGTACCGTCAGTCAAGCCGGTTCGGTCGAGTGTGACTTTTGCAAAAAAAATCGTAACACGATACTTGCACCGCGATAAGACTTGTGAAAATGTGAATTCCCTTTGCGAATAAAGTATTATATATTTCTCTTTAATGTGACATGTCGCGCTAAGATAGCGCAAATTTCTCCATTACACATTTATTTAACATTTTATAGCTAAGTGTGTTGGATATTGAGATAATTCAAGAGAATATCTATTAACTATTTATCCCATATATTAGCATAGGAGGTTTTTCGGAGATTCTATTAATTTGTTTATAATTTTGTGATACTTTGCAAAATTAATTGTGTCGCGAAATATACGTTAGTTTACGGATCATGCTTCATCAAAGTCTTATTCCACGCCGAAAGGTAATTAGTATAATTTGCTTGAGAACGAATCTAGTAACTGTGGAACTCTAAATGTGTATCACTCTCATTCAAATAATTTTCGTTCTACTTTTACATTTCATATACTCTGTATTAATTTCAAGGGAAACTAAATGATATACTATATATGTACGATGGACAATTCTCATAATGTTGTACATATATGCTTTGAGATCGACTTTAATCGTGCATTAAATAATTAAAAGATTTGACGAACCAAAAATATTTGGATTTCGGTATTTTTTCAGGTGGAAATCGATGCGATTCTCGCCTTGAATCGCGATTTGAACCAAAAGATGGGACCACCGCCACAGGTGATGAACAATCACATGTTGGCGTCCTCGAAAGCAAGGGTACGTATAAATTAAATTAACTATTTGTTAAAATATGTTTGCATCAAATAGTTCTGAACTATTTCCAGTAAAATATTTATAGAAATAATTGTCAATCGGATTCTGGTGAAAAAAACAGTCATTTTCTCACATTTTATCAATTCTAATTGTAACTTTTTAAAAGTGTAATTAGAATTTCTATAAAAAATATCAAAAGATATTAAAGATAGGATATCGTGGAAATCAAGTTCTTGATTTTAATTGATAAGTAAAGTTTAGAATCGTAAATATTTATTGATCTGATATAAATCGATAGAATAGCGTGGCTATTAGATGGGCGAATTCGCAAAATTTTCGCGATTTGTTGATTCGTGAGTGACGTGCCTCTCTGCGAGGAATTAAAATTCGGCGTGGGGTTTTAAATGTTCGCGTAAATTCTCGGTCGATCATCGACTGGGCCCGGCGAATTCTGTTTACCGGTTGCCCGGACTACGTGGCATAACCTCGCTCCTAATATGGAAAGAATAATCCGATCTCGCGTCTCGTGGCGTTTACACCGCGGGAGACATGTTCCAGTACCTGTACGTCTTTCAGGTAGGCGTGCTCGTCATTCGTAAGTTGATTTTTCACAGGTCTCTAAGTTTGACACATCTTATCTCGTCATATTTTTGGCTTTTCCATCACGTGGAGCATTTAAATAAACAATTATGATTGTTATTAGAGCGAGTTTATTAATTTTATTTTTTTTTCTTTGTAAATTATTGGAAAAAAGGCTTTCTAAATTAAATCTTGATTTTATTCTTAAAGGTTACAGAAATCGAGAGAGATTGTATAGTTTTAACTTTTGTTTATTAATGATGCTTGCGCCTTCCAACATATGACAGTCACGGTGTTATAGATATATACATTATATAAGATGTCCCCGAAAAATTTATTTTTTTTTTTCCGAAGCAGAAGTTTTGAATTATATATGTATATAGATCGAGAATTAAAAAGTGTGCTTTTAAAATTTATAAAAAATTAGTTTCTTAGGGACAACACGGAAGATTATACACATTTATGTGTGGAAGAACAAATTTATAAACTTTGAATTATACTTAGAAAAAGCGATATTCTCCTTGTTTAAAATTTTTATCTATTTAAAAAAAGGAGAGGAGAAAGATAAGATTTGAAAAGAATCGATCGCAGGATCCGAGAAATCCATGCGGATCCAAAAATTTATAATTTTAAAAAACATGTATACAGCAAGAAATTCTCGTAGATACATCGACCGATAAAAAGTTAAAGTTTCGCGTGATTCCCATTACTAACATGGTAACATCTTTTTTTTCCTCCATGGACGCTGCTCATTATCACGGACCTCGGTATCGACGATGGACCACGGACTGTCTACCGATAACAAACCGATCTCGAATATGATATTCACGTCATCTCGGCCGTTCGTCATCCGCTCCACAAAAAAAATGCCTTTCTTGACAACTCTCTTTCTTATCGATCCCCTCGGCTCTCGTCGATCACGGGTTTAATCGTCCGATTGATTTAAATAAAACTGATTGTGACCGCGACCAACGGTAAGGAGCCGGACTCCTCGGCTGAAGAGGACGAGGGGGTCGACGAGTCGGAGAACCAAGAGGAGGGCTCCCTCGGACGCCATGGCGGTCACACCGCAAGAAACGGCCTCGCCTCCGCAACGCTTCCTGTACGAGTCACATCTCGTCTCTCGGTAACGCGCACCTCTTCCCCCATCACCGCAACAACAATAACAACAACAATTGCAGTACACAATCTTCTCACAGCAGCAACATTCCTCTACACTCGCGGTTCGGTCGCCGAACTGATCTTAGCATTTTCGAGAACGCTCTTACGACATATCTTATCGCGATTTTTATCACATTTGAATCAAAAAATAGTGCACGAAAAATTATGATGTAGTTATAGAAGTATTTTATAATGTAATTCAATATTTGAAAAAGTTATTTAACTCTGCAAAGAGAAGGCTACTACCTTACTGTTCATTGAAACTACCATAAAGCATTATTGTGAAAAAATATCTGTCTCATTCAAAAATATTCAAAGTCTTTTTGTTTAACTGCTTGCAAGAAGGCAAACCTATTCATTGTGAGATTTAAAACTACTTAAAATCATATTCTAAAAAATAGTCGAAATTGCTAGCTACTTCTAATCCAAATTTTAAAAAGACTGGCGAAAATTATACTATACAGAAGATGCTAAAGAAACGTTCGCAGCCTCGCATCTTTTCTCTATCACGAGCCTAACATTGGCTTTCCTGAAATACCCCTGTCACTAGAGCACCATTCGCTAACATTTCTTTTCACCCCTTCCGCACTCGCCGATAAAGTTATGACAAACGGATATCCTAACGAATATCTAGCTAATAGCTGGCGAAAATTTGCTGCACGACATTATTTTATTTTTATTTGTGCGGGAACGCGCAATTTTATGGAACAAGAAATGATGAATTGCTCAGCGATTACCGAGAGTGGGTTAATAACCGTGTTGTTCTGGCGATCGATATGTAAAAAGAACGCACGGACGTGATTAACGGGCGATCGATGAACTGCATCTTATCTCGCGTCTTGAACGTCTGACGGAATATGTCAAATCGTATAAGCGCAGGTGCCAGAAGAAAGGATGTATTATACACTCGGCTTCTCGAAAGAAGCACCGTTTTATTTTTTTCATTTACAGCACTTTCTAGATATAAGCTATTAGATCCCTCTTCTTCGTTGCACGAAGAAATACTGCTATCCTCTTTAATGAAGTGATTAAACGTAGTCTGTTTTCTTTATTTTCAGCACTCCACCAGACCGTCTATTCCAGTGAAAGGTACGTAGCCAAATGACGCTGATTATTTTTTTCGTATCTTTGTCACACTCGGTTAAATAAACGACATAGTTATGGATAAAATTATTATATGTAATGACATTTCTATTTTTTGCGTCCCAATAAATTTATGCGCGATATAATATAAACGGGCGATATCTGTATTCTCTTTCGCAGTTTAAAAAAATTTCTATCGCGGAATAAATTTCTGTATCATTTTAATTGCAGCGTAATAAAACGCTAATCAAATCACTGAATCGCAAAGTGGATAGAGTTAATGTGAAACCAGGCTAATCATATATAAGCTTACTATACTTTACGCTGTTCCATCAATATTTTTTCAACATTCGCAAGTGTGCCTCTTGTTTAGGTAGACAGCATAATTTCCATGATCTTCTGATTTACGCCGATAAGCGCGGATGACTGTGAAACTTTCGCGTTCAATAAATCAATTTTGTGGCCGGACGTTGCGCCACGGGGGCGAACGTCTGTGTGCCGTCGTCGTTTCACCTAGATAAGTCAAGTAGCGACACGAGCCAGGTTACACGTGTATATATGGTCGAATCGTGACTATCGATGTTTTCGTGCGCCGTATGCAAGGCAGGCGGCACAAGGGCAAGGACCCCGACGGGACGTACAGTACGCTCGCGAGCTGAGGGGATTGCACCTCTCGTTGCTGACTCTCTCGGACACTGTTCGATCTACCCTTCTCGCCGATAGTGCGCACCTCCCGGTGAAACGTCATTTCGCGACCGGAACCGATCAGTTCTTAAAAAATTCACGAGACTTCACACGATCGCGTGTGCGCTGTGACTCGCCATGAGATTCGATCCGCTCGCTTATTGCTTTCGGAGGAAAAATAAAATCCGCGACACCGAAAATACAGACATTGCTGGCGATAACCGAATCTTGACGCTTCGAATCGAAGACCATGGTACCGGTAATATATTTGATAAAATGTATTGGAAATCGTCTGATATTTTTAAGATTTTTTGATCGAGTAAAATATTTTTAATTATTTTGTGATTTTTTACATTAAGATAAGTGACAAGTGAATTTAAAAAATAAATGTAGATTTTGCGCGACTTAACGAAAAGCAGACAAAGCGCGACTGCGTGTTTAAATTTTTTGTCACAATATCAAAATCGTCCGTTTCTGTTAATTGAACAATTTTTAGATTCGAGGCGTCAGTAAAAGGAAAATAAAGGAATAGATCTCGTGGGATTAAAAATAATTTGTTTTTGTTAAGTTTTAATCTTTTGACAAGATCAAAGATAAGGATAATAATGCGCTGGCGATATTAATTTTTTGCACCGATGTTTTAGCGAGTTCGAACAAACAAATAACGCGACAGACGGGGCGTCCGACAAACATAATGTCGTCGACAACATCGGTGAACGGTCACGGAGACTCGGTTTCCGGACTCACGGGACGTCGGGAGCTTGAAAACATACCGCCAACACCGACGACAACAACGATCGCGCAATATAATCTAGCGACTCCGGCGCAAAATAAACAGCAGAAACAAGCGCAGCAGCAGCAGCAGCAGCAACAACAACAGCAGTTGCAACAGCAGCAGCAACAAACCCAAGTAGAAAATGGTCGTGGTAGGCGATCCAACGTCGTCAAGGAGGTCGAGAGACTGAAGAAAAACAGAGAGGAAAGGAGACAACGGCAAGCAGAATTAAAAGAAGCGATGATGAATTTGGATCCGGGCAATCCATATTGGGAGTTTCTTGCCATGATAAGGTTAGTGTGTTAACTCATTAACTAATTTTTGCATTTGAAATGTAATAACTCTCTTTTTAAAATAAGGAATTTATTAATGTTATGCATTAATTAGACGTATTTTGATATAAATATTGTATTAATTTCTGTAGAATGTCACCGTGTATATTTGGAAGAATCTTTCATGTGTATGATTGATAGCAAGTATTATATATTAATCGAGTCGCTTGTATTGATTTTATATTTACTTTTGTAGAGAATATCAAAACAGCATAGAATTCAAGCCATTGCGGGATAGCGACACCGTGGAGGATCATCAGATCACTGTGTGCGTGCGGAAACGTCCGCTTAATAAGAAGGAACACACGCGCAAGGAGATCGACGTGATCAGCGTGCCCAGCAAGGATCAGATGGTGGTGCACGAGCCCAAATCCAAGGTCGACCTCACCAAGTATCTCGAGAATCAGATCTTCAGATTCGATTACGCGTTCGACGAGACATGTAACAACGAGATAGTCTACAAATACACAGCCAAGCCGCTAGTGCAAACAATCTTCGAAGGCGGCATGGCCACGTGCTTCGCATACGGCCAGACCGGTAGTGGCAAGACTCATACTATGGGCGGCGATTTTAACGGCAAAACGCAAGATTGCAAGAAGGGCATCTATGCCATGGTTGCAAAAGACGTGTTCAAGTGTCTGAAATTGGCAAAATATCGGCCCTTGAATTTGGTTATTTCCGCTAGCTTCTTTGAGATTTATTCCGGCAAGGTGTTTGATCTCTTAGCGGATAAAGAAAAGCTGAGAGTTCTGGAAGACGGCAAACAGCAGGTTTGTTTTATATTGAAATATGAAGTTTGTATTAGTTCGGATTGAAAGTAACCGCGTTATAAAAATTAAAGTTTATCTCAGTCATTTATACATATATTATCAATATTACATGATTTGTTTTCATATATATTTGCTATTATTAAGATTATTTATGTTAATTTACAATCATTAGCATATCCGGTTTATATATGATTCAGATTTAATGTGTGTGATTAATATCTTATTTATTTCACACTTTGTGTCTTAATGTTCGGAAATTTTTCTCATACCTATCAAAATAGGTGCAAATAGTGGGATTAACGGAAAAGGTCGTGGAGACTTGCGACGAAGTATTAAAGTTAATACAACACGGAAATAGCGCCAGAACGAGCGGTCAGACGAGCGCTAATTCCAATTCTTCGAGATCGCACGCGGTATTCCAAATAATAGCGCGTATGCCGGGTACACACAAGGTGCACGGAAAGTTTTCGCTTATCGATCTTGCTGGTAATGAAAGGGGTGCTGACACGTCGTCCGCTAATAGGCAAACTCGTGAGTGTAAATGTTCAATTATAAACAACGACCAAAATGGATCTGTTGGTTATAATTAATGATCTAAGCTTGCTTCAATTTTCTAAAGTAATTAATGCTGTTATTGAAATTTTTAGGAATGGAAGGTGCTGAGATCAATAAATCTTTATTAGCCTTAAAAGAATGCATACGCGCGTTAAGCCGTAAGGGTACGCATTTGCCTTTTAGAGCAAGCAAACTGACTCAAGTGTTGAGGGACAGTTTCATCGGTGAAAAATCAAAAACGTGCATGGTAATAATTATTTGATAATTATATTATCGCGAAATATGGTTGGAGATAAGGAAACAGTTTCGAACAAGCATTATACGTTTATAGATAGCGATGATTAGTCCTGGGATGAGTTCCTGCGAGCATTCGCTAAATACATTGAGATATGCTGATCGAGTGAAGGAATTGGCGGCGAACGATCCTACAGAAATAAAAGCCTCGCCGACAGATGACGATCGGGGCATGAAGATCGAGGAACAGGCAAACAACAGCGTTTTATCGGATAGCGATCTAGCGCAGCTTCGATCTCTCAACGTAAGTGATCATATTTGCAAAAAATCTTGAAAACATGTATTAAAATCATACAACATTGTTTAAATATTATTTATTACATAATTAAGGAAATTGCACTCACACACACATACATAAAAACAGACAATAAAAATGAAATAATTTTTAATTTTGCATGAATAATCTTTGTGTTCATAGGAAGGTGAACTATCGCAAGATCTGTACACTTTTCACGAGGCAGTATCTGCTCTGCAGATGCTCGAAGAAGAAGTGTTAGATACGCACAAGCTGGTCATGGATAATACAACTAAATTCCTTAACGACGCGCACAGTGTGTTCAGCGCGACTCACGAAGTGGATTATGACCAAGAAGGTAAGATAAATTTGTTTGCATTTGCACGTTTACGTTTTTTTATTGGCTTCTCATTACCACTTTTGTTTCTTGTACTGCGTTGTACTGAACAATGCACTCTCGTTAAGAAGAATGAAATATTTTCGATGTATTCTGCCGTTTCACATTTATTTGCGGAAGCACATTATCTTTTTTTTTTTTAATATATCAAGAAAATCAATTTTTGGGAATAAGATATTAATATCGGTATATGTTGAATGAGGTCGTTTAGCGTCAGGTTACTTACGAAAATTTACGTGGTAAAAATTCACAGGCAATGCCTGGCGATAAATACTCTTAAATGACGTTTTAATGATCGTGTCGTTTACATATTCTAAAATTATCCCGCCAATAACTAGTAGTAGAGATTTAAACAAAAGTACGAAACGCTGTGCTTGCCGGTATCATAGAGCATCGCATTTTATGACAGATACGCGCAGTAAGACTAAGGCAAATTCGACCGTCATGTTAAACCGCCATCGGAGAGATAGCAGTTCAATAAACACGATAACGATAAACGATGACACGGACAACGTATCGGACATTGACATGCAGACAGTTTTAAACGCAGAAAGAGATGTAGCCGCAAAGAGTCCTGCGAAGTCTCCCTGGAAGGATGAGATGGATTTCAATTCAAACGAGGAGGACTTGAATGTTCTTCTTTGCACGCCTGTCAAACCCATTATCACGAAGAGAAGCGTGACGACCGGTCGAATTGCCAGAAAGAACGCAACCAATAAAAACATAATGGAGCGTTCAATTGAAAGATCTAATCAAGATCAACGGGTCAAATTCTCCACCGTTGGCAAAACTAAAAAATATCATTGGTCCGGTACATCCCGTAGCAAAAGAGGTCTGTTTCATAAAGATAAATACAGTGATATGCTTTATTCATCTTGCGATAATGAACCGAATAAATTGAACGATCAGCTGACAAATTACAATTACTACAACGAGGATTTTAAGAAAAAGAAACCCACAAGCAAGGGAGATATTTTCTATCCGAACGAATTCGATTCGCAAACTGACGGCGATTCATGGAAAAACGAATGGATCGATGACAGTATCGATTATCAACCTTATATGGACATTTGCACGGATGAATTTACGGAGTTTGATCATTTTAAAGACTATGATATCGAGCAGAATAACGGCGCGTTACCGATAGCATCTAACGTTAATATAAATTTAAGACGAATACCGGATGTAGACAATAAGAAAATGTGTAATATTAATTTGCGTACAAACGAACGAGGCAATGCAACCATTTTATATTCTCAACTTAATTATAATATCAGTAATATTAACAAAGAAGAATGCAATAATCCTTGCAGTGCCAAGAAGTCGATTGATTCTTCGACAAATATCGAATTAAATACCAGAAAAATGATTAATGGTACCAAGAAGAAATTTGCTGTTCGGTCATATTGCTATAAAACGTGGTGTCTTTTAATATCTATTTTGAAAAATGCTATTTTATTTTTATGGCTTCCAGTGGTGTACATTATCTTTTTCATCTACATACAAAAGAGAGAAGACAGAGAAAAACAGTTTAACATATAATTATCTTTGCATAAAACAGTTGTACGAGAGTCACCTCTAAGTTTGAACGCGCATTAAATAATGATTTAAATTTTATGTATTATTATTATTTTTATGTTATAATTTATATTTTATGATAGGATAAAATGACACACATATTAAAATCATATTTTATTTCAGTCTTTCTTTTTAAAATGTATTATCAGTGTGAAAAATTCTTGTGCCTGAAAAATTTGCTATGACATATAATCTTAATTTCAACGAGAAGACATTTCTTTGAGTTTAAGCACTTGTGTTGTTTGAGCTTGACTGTATGCACGTTTGAAATTGTTAATAATTCTTGAGTATTAATTCTGTGTGTGTGTGTGTGATGTTATATTAAATATATATTGATTTTGCAATCGTATTTCTTCCGCAAAACATAGCACTTGTGTGGCTTATCATGTACCATTTTTATTAGCAATATTTTAAATAAATGACCGTTAATAAATGCGCGCTACAATATATAATGTTATTTGCATAAACCTATCATAGGTATCTTTAAACTACGTCACACCATTTTATCGATATTATTAGCATTTACATAAGAAAAAAGCGACTGACCACATATTATACATAGTTTCAACTACATTTATAATTATAGCATAGCGAATAAAATTTCTCTTGTGTCTATACACTTGCATATTTTAGAAATCACATTGCATTGTATACCTATAAGAGAAATTTGATGTAATACCAGAAAACCTTGCAGATTTGAGGCGGAAAAGAACAAAGTTTGAGTCACCCTACCTGAGGAGTTTCTCGTTGCGTAGACGTCTTATAGAGAGAAAACTATTTTCCGACGGTACGACAAATTCGATTAACAATTCTATAAAATAGTTTTGGAAAAGCAGCTTATTTTAATGTGCACCATACATATATATATACTAATGATACGCGTCACATTATTTTCTCATCGATATCACATACACATATTTTAATCAAATATATACATATCCCAAAAATAATATTTCTTAATCATTTTTGATATTTGAAATTTTATACCAATGTAAAATTGATTTTGCCGCTGTAACGTCAGAAATAGATTTTCTTCTCATCTGTTTTAAAAGTTTTTATTTCCATCATACAAGCTATATTATATATATATTGTGAGATTTTTGATGAAGTATCAAAATTGTTCAATTTCTAAGAGAATTGAATCATTTGATCTTTTTTAACTGTGTCTATTGTTATAAACATAGTTGTTAAAACAGTGTGTGTGGAATTAATAGGATTGTTCTTTCAATATCTGGTTCAAACCGCGTGCAAAATATATTAATGTAAATTATATCATATAGATATATAGAAGCAGTAATATTTCCGTAACAATATTTTATAATATTGATATTATAACTTATATTATATTTTCCTTAGAATACGCGAACAGATATATCCTGGGAGGGTAAGCGCTCAAGATTTTTCTTTTCTTTTATTTCTGTTACATATTGTTGCATAATATTTTATTAAATATTATATATTGTCACAAAAGAAACTATATTAAAAATAAAATATTAAATAATTTTGTACATATGTAACATAAAATTATGTCTTTGAAAGCGTGAATACATCGTCTCATCGTGTATGTATGTAAACTGAATCCTCTCGTTAATAAATGTTATTTTTGTGGATTTGTTGGCTCGCGAGCTAATGATAGCGTCACGATAAATAGTTACATGTAACCATGTTGAGAACGCTATAAGAGAATTATTCAATCAAATCATGCTTAGCTTAAGCTTCAATTTTAGTGTAATATCTATATTTAATTATATTTATGTGTATATGTATAAATAATGCTAATAAGTAAATCTAAGCATCTTAAGACTGGCTCATGAGCAATTGAAAAATAATACATTAATATAAATGCGTTTCACACAAAACATTCCATTTAATTTACTTAGCTACGCTTTGACGTAAAAATAGCGGCTTTTATAACTTGAGAATGCGGTTGAAAATAATTTAGATTTAAGTTGCTTTAGGCATTATCATATATTTCAAACCACTAACAATTATCATTTAATTAATATTGTAATTCCTCTATTTTTATAAATTTTATTACCATACATAAAATATTTTTACTGAGACATTATCGAGATATTAACTTAAATATTATATCTGATTAAAAAACAGAATATTTTACATTTTCAATTAAACGAACTAAAATGGTAATGAAATCCGATGTGATAAACTATGTGTTAACTACGTTTTACGAAATTACTGTAAAATTAAATACAATACTAAAATAAAACAGAGAGAATAGCTCTCCATTCTTCACTTGTAATACATCATCTTTATGTATCTTCGATATAATCCTTAATTATGCTAAGCCCGATGTGTCTAATCATGCTCTTGGGTGCTCTGACGGGTGTGCGTGTTATCTGTTGCAGCATATGTCCAAAAATGGGAGCAGTTGCTAATACAGCAACGTGACATCCTCAATGCCGCGCTCGATCAAGTCAGCCAATTTCGCGGGCAGCTCTTACAGGAGGAACAAATCAGTCAGAAGATGACCCGAACGCGCAATGTTTCAATGCGGTACAATTAAGAATGATACTCTAACGATTGCGAAACGAAAAAAGACACAAAAAGTAATTATCTCTCTCTCATCGATGAGAAAAACCCGCTTCTTATGTGTGTATTGATCTTTATTTACAAGCGCGCGAAAAGCAAGTATACATGACACTAGTGCGACACATGAATATAAAATGTAACAAAACTCCGTCTTGCCTTCGAAATTGCTATGAAAGGTACATCGACGAGAAAGCAAGGAGCTCGACTCGTATAAAACTCACCCTAGCGATCCTGTACTATATAACGATTCTTCTCGAATAATTCTTTGAGTGAACAAACGACAGTGGAGAGAATTCCGCAAGAAAGAGTATATAAATAAGGAAATGAAATTGAAGTTTGCATAATAAAATAATAAAAATAATTTTTTGAGAATCCGCAAAAAGAGAAATCAAATTTTTGTTTTTACGTATTGGCTTTGTCCGTCGCATCTCTGCGAGAATTGGCCGGGAATTTTCAGTCAGGATTTCATGTTTCTTTTAGTTTGAAAAGTTTAGTCGAAAATTTTAAGTGACCTTGTGGAATCGTTTGCAAAGGTACTTTAGACATACACGATCTTTTTATTTTTAGATATACAGTAAACAAAGTTTTACCAGTATGTAATCACATGTTTTTAAAACGAATTCTTAAGCGTTTTACACATTTTTGGGCCGCACTGAAACTATCGTAGAAATTTTAAGCCGTCGATACGTACTCGTGTACACGATTTGTCCGTCTTCGAAATGCAAAATACCATCGCGAATAATAATGCGTAAGATATGAAATCAGATCAACACACAGTTTTAGAATATAGAATGCTAGGTGTATTATTACGGGGGACCTAGTTTAATATTGGACGAGCAGGAAAAGCCTTAGTATGCCGATTTGTCGAAATATATATATTATATTTTATACACTCATCCACATACGCATATACACAACAAATACAAATGCATACATATACACGCGTAGTTATCGACGACATTCGTAAATCAAATAACAACTGATTTGGAAAAAGATATAACTCTTAGCTCATAAGAAACTGCACAGCGCGGCGCTCATCCAAGTTCGGATTTAAGTTTTTTAGTATTAATATCGTCGACGGCACATCAAACGGTCCTCTTTTTTTCTTACATTATTAAAAGTATGAGATTAAAATCTTCATTTGATTTGTCAACGCATACTCTTGTATTTTCTTCCTCATTCTACTGAATCGCACAGAGTGATTCTAACATGCGTGTAAAAGCTTTACTGCGGATACGTACAGCGGAATACCGTAATTTTTTATCATGATTACAGCTTTATTGAGGAAAAGTTTATAAATTTCACATTCTATCGATATACCGCTTTTTTTAACAGAAATGATCAAATTTTGCTTTGTAAGATATAAAGTCATAAATTTTTGCCCCTCCCTGCTACCCCGTGTTTTGATCTTTACATACTTTAAAATGCATCATGACAATTAATATGGTGGTACAATATAATAATATTATTATATTTCAAATGATTATATAAAGAAGAAGAAAATATATTTTGGCCAAAAATATATCTTTTTTAATAAATTATAAAAGCCAAATTAATATCCACAAAGTAAATGTTCAGCATTTACGAAGAAAAAATAGCAGTAAATTTTTGAAATATTTTACTAATTATATTTTTCAGTATGTGTTATAATTCAACGTACATATTTACTATGCCATTGTAATTGGATAGATGAAATGGCTAGTGTAATCGCGAATTGTTAAAGGTATTGTATCACCAAGATAATTGTAAAGAAATATATCTCGCTGCAGTCACACTAGACAATAGGAAATGAAAAGAAGTAATATAACGCGGATCACATATATATATACATTGTATAATTCTATCTTGAAAATTTCATTCTAAATGCCCATTTTCTTGTGTATACGTAAAATGCTCGTGGACTCGCGGTAAAACAATCATATACGCCCAATTTTGTAAACGTCTAGAACCATTCTGATTATAATTAGGAAAATGTTACTCGAGATATCTCTCGAAAACTTAAAGATAGAATAATAAAATAACAATAACACGGAGATAGAAATAACGGAGTAATTCTGTGTTGAAAAAAAAAGATACGATTTATATATAAAAATAAAATATTGCAGCGCGAAGAATGTTGTAAAGAAATAGTTTGAAATTACTGTTAAATTAACGAGATAGTTATATTTTCCGCCGACGGCATTCTCTTTAATTTTATCTAATCTTTATTGAGAGTATTATGTAATTTGAAGCTATGACTCTCTGTATTAGTATCATGCTTTATTGATTGAAAAGGTTCACGTTTTTCCTTACGTATCCAATGCTACGTTTCTCGAGGATTGCTAAAAATATATAGTCTTAATTAATAAACATTATCGATGCAGTTTACGACGACTGCTGTAACTCAGGCATATATCAGTAGTTCTATATTATCGAGATTCATATAAATTTTGTCATCTTTTTTCATATCATGAAAAAATCGCGTTTTATCCTCTCGTGCGAGCGCGTGAATAGTATTTTTTAAGAGTAGTGAGAGACGAATCTTAATATCCGAAAGATGTTAATATACTTCTTATTTTTTTAATAATCTAATAATTTACGCGGAAGGGAGGAGATGAGTAAATCAAACAAATGTATCCCTTCACTCTATCTTTCCACTGTATGTCGTACTTAATCGATTTCTGAACTATTCTAATTCGATGTGCACAGAAAAAGATTTTGGATACGTATGAGAGATTTCACGTTGTTGCTTTATGAATGAAATAAATCAAATTGAAAAATGGATATTATAATACGCTCCGCTCCTCATCCTGATCAGCATACTTTAATAAGATTGAAAAGAGAATATAGTGTGCGTATATACACGCGCGAGTAGAGAAATCAGTTTTATATAATTATTTATATAGTAAGTATTCTTATATCTCCTGATTTTTAAACAATATCTTTCTCTGTTTATAATATTTAATTTTTCCATTTATATCATTACAAAATTTTAATAGATTTAATTTTTTTCAATCAGATTTTATTATCGCATTATTTAATGACGTGATTCATCATCGACGGAGGAGTCTAGGATGGAGAACGGACCGTCAAACGCGTAATTATGAAACGAATACAATCATATTTAATCGCACATAGAGATACACAGGTAGGCATTTTATTTCGTATTTAATAGAGCTGCACAAGACAATAATTACCAGAAATGCATGTATAGACACAGGTGAAGGCGTGTAAACGAGACCGAGTGAATAAGTTTATATATCGCGAACGGTATATATATAACATAGCTGATCACGAAGAATTTTCGTTAAAAAGTTCTCGGCATCTCGTGGACATATTTTCTGTCAGGCATCTAAAAATGTCACCCAAGCAATATTTTTCAAGCAATGACGAAATTTTTTTCTGGTATACGAAATGTTTATGTGATTAATGCCGGAACGTATATACATTGAACAGTTCAATATTTTTCTTGATAACGGAGCAGACTCTGTATACGTGATCTGGGCTAATCATTTATACTAGTTTGTCGATTTCTTACCGCATAACACGTTACATTTAACACAAATATTTTTTTATTATTATTCACTCTATATTATATATATACGATTAAAAAAAATACCGTGCTCTGAACATAAAATGTCTTTTTTTACCATAAAGAAGAGTGCTAAAAATGAAATAAAATATATTACACTTCGTACTTGGCAGCTAATGTGCGTTAACACTGTATAGTCTTGCGATAACTACGAAACAAACTCATTCTCTCACAGAGGAGGTGATCTGTACAGATAGAGGAAGCTCGTGTATCCTACGTCGTCATTAATAGTTATGAGCACGACGTAGCCACATGAGCGTACCGAGAAATCGCGCAAGGGGGAAAAAATCCGCATTTATCTTCTCTAACGGTGTATAACATGGAATGGATTCTCTCTTTCTCTCTCCAAAGACGTATTTTCAACACATATAGCTAACGATATATATATATATATATATATATATATGCATGTACATATGTATATATGCATGTACATATGTATATATGTATGTAGTTACTGACGTATTGGAATATCGCGAGCCCGTTTTCAAATCGCTCCTTTGCATTTCAATCGCTCATCTATTTATTCTTCACGGCCTTTACATTAATAGACGGCTTTTCTATAAAACGAACCGAGCGTGTCTATATCAGAACCGATGAACGGAGATTTTTAAAGTTTTCTGTGGTATGAAAATGATTTACAATATACAATTGTTAACAGATTAATAAAAAAATATATCTTCATTACATTAATTATCAGGTATAATATAAATGCATTCATGTTTAAAATGACAAGCAAGTACTGATTGCTTATTTGTTAGTTGCAATCTATGTAATGCAAAGTCGCTCGGTTCATTTTATATTTTAATATTTCCAAGGCACGATAATTTTCAAAGTATAATCTTCAACTCAAAACTTGATTCATATCGTACAATTATATCGAGTGCAATCACTAGGCAAATAAAACTCGATATCAGACAACTAATAGTTTGATGCTAATGTGTAAATATTACATGTGCTATAATGTGACGCTATAGTGCAAATATACAGAGCTATACATTTATTTTACAAGAATGGACATATTCGAGGGAATTTTTTATACAATTTTCTTTTCTTCTTGAATGGGAAAATGTTTGTGCATTTTCGGATACAACACACGCATACCAGATCTCTTGCTATTTCACAATATACATTTCAGAAATTGCGTATAATGTATCATAATATCTTACATAACTACGTAATATAAAAGGCATCCAAGGCACAAACTTGGGTGGCATGCAAAAAAATACAGTGCTCTATCAATTTTCGAGAGCTTAAGTTTGAAATCAAACTTTCGCAAACTCCGAAGAATGTATCGTTTCGAAGATCAGGATTAAAAAGGTTCAGGCGAGGTTGTAAACGGGCTTTGCGATTTTAGTTAGCAATAAAACGAAGACTGAGAGATAAAAGCTGTAAATCTAATCTTGTATATGAGAAACTATTCACATACATCTTTCAATAATGCACATCATGCTCATTTCAAACTCGTGATAGATTTCGATGTGCTCGTAAAAGATCTCGTAACTCCATTCTAATCGATTAGCCATTCGATAATTTATTGACGCAAATTATGATGCAGCATTGTCGCTATAAGAGATTTCTAATTCGTCTGTATATGTTGATGAAAATTTCAAACACAATTGGATCATATTCTGCAGAAAGTAATTTGGAAATAAATTCACAGCGATTTTACATACATATAGTAAATCTCTTTTTTCTATACTTATTTTATCAAACAATAAATTGCCATAGTTAGAACAGGCTGAAAACGTATTTTACATTTTATCCCTTTTTTCTATAGTCGTCGATTATTGTCTCCATCGCTTGTACAATTGTACCATATTATGCAATACGGAATAAAATAGCATTTCGTTGACATTAATGTTTGTACCAAACAGTATCCTGTTCAATATGAAATTTAATCTTTCCCTTCTTCACACACACATCACACATATTTAACATAATGCAATTGTAAGTTACAACATTTTATTCTTTCGTACTTTCCTCATCACTTAATCGTTAATCAGGCAAATATCTTATTTCTTAGTACTTTCTTTCATTTATCACGGAATTGTAAGTAGGCAAGTACTTTATTCTCTCTCGTACTTTTTTTTGTTTATCACCAAATTGTAAATTTGCCAAATCGAATAGCAAAGAATCACAGCTAGGCACATATCGGCAAACAAGTGACAGCAAACGGCAGTGAAAAAAGATAGTATTGTCTATATAGGCACTGTTAATATCTGACGGCTAACATATTCAAAGGCATCGATATATTTTTGAAATACTTTATTTGTGATTACTTTGGGAACGTGATTAGAAAGAATTGTATTTCTCTTTGACAAAATATCACAGTGCATAAATTAAATGTATTATGCGAATATATACCGTTCTTTTTGGCACCTTTTGCAGCATATAAAAGTAACAAACAAAGTAATATCAAGAGCAACTCCAATTCGTAAAAATAACTTCTCATCCAGCAATGTATAAACTTACTAACAGGTGACTTCTTCATTAAACATACACTTGTACACACATATACAAATGTATACAATTCTCCCATATAGAATTTGTACAGTACATAAAATTTTATATATTTATGACACATAAAACTTACCTAAATGTGTAATGTGTTTTCAGAAATTATAATATGGAAAGCGTTGAATCATATGGTACATGATGCGATAATCGAGAAGAGTACAATGCAATGTAATTTACAGAGATGGAGCAAGGTCATGAATCATAAATCTCTTTCTACGAATTAATGTATTCGAGGTTTCAATATATCATTGGACGCAGTTAACTTTCAACAGTCAACGTGAGATCAACGTCCAACGTCTTACATTGAAATACGGATCGCATCGTTTTTCAATAAAAGACCGTGCTACACCATCAATCGTTTTAGCGAGAAATTTGAGTAGATCTACATAGAGACGTAAAAGTACTTTTAAAACACACACATAACAGACATAATCATTAGGTTATCCTTGATCAGAAGGACAGAAAATATTTTGTTTTTCGTTCCCTTCCAATAATTCGGAGGATTTATTTTCTTTGTCAAGCAGCTGTAATCTCGCGTTATATTTCTTTTATCATCACAATAAATTTTAAAATCGTCTAGAAAAAGATTTGTGGCATAACACTGACAAATATCTTCGCAATAAGTCTCTATATAAAATAAAGTATTACGACTGTGATGGATAGATTTGAAAAATATTTCTTTTTTTTTTACACATATATCATTATACTTCTATATGTATAATTTTTTTCCTATATAACAGCCAAAGAGTTTTATAGCATCTAAGTGTATACATTACGCGATCACGATAGCTTTCAGAGATCACTGTTAAATATTCTTATTTTTTTGTATAACATTTCTCGTAATTTTTTATATTTCTTTCAAACTTTACATATTTTTGCTTCATTATCGTCTTATTTTCATGAATTTAATATTGGTATAACATAAAGTAACTTACAGCTGTAACCATTGTCAAACATGTCTCTGTGCATGGTCTCCACAACTCTCACATTTATGGCAATTATGATCAATATCCTTAAACTTTTAAAAGTGCATCGAAACTAATTGTCCTTTCCTCATAATGAACATTTTGTTGTAAGATGTGCATATTATTTATGACACTGAACTTATGGCATTATGGGGCGGACCCATTTGTGTTAACACTTTGTCTAACCATTGCAAAGGTCCATGCAAATGTGCTTCAATCCAGCAAGGGGTTGATGTAACATCCTGTCTATGATATTCAGCACCCCATCCCTTCACAAATGACATTCTGTAAACAAAGAAGTTTTTACTTACTTACCTGAATTATGTATATTATTGCAATTTTTCATACTGCATTAAATTATTGCAAATTACCTAATCGTGCACATCTTTGTTAGCTCATAGACAGCTTCGAAACCATGATTTACACTTTGCGAGAGAAGCTGAGCAAATTCCTGATTGTTGAATATCTTTAACGAGCATCCTGGTGGAATTTTACAAACTGTGCTGGGATGAAATCCATGATGGTGATTACAATTCCTAGATTGTACAAATATTGCCGAGTCTGAGAGACATTCGGCATAAACCTCGCCTCCCACGTAGTACAAATGCACTCCTTTGCCTATGTGTCGCCTTGTATTTTCTATTGTGGAATTTCGATTTACATTGGACAGTTGTCCAAGGCAGAAGCGATCGGAGTTATTGCTCGGGTTTGTGAAGCCGTCAATAACCACCGAATGCGTCTGACAATGAAATACCTCGCCCACTCGGCAATTTAGCTCGTAGTAAGCAATCGAGGCCCAATAGGGTGGTTCTTGATAACACACAGGTGTAGCTGATTCGATGGGCGCGCTCGTATCCATTGGAACCGAATCTGATGACGAGGTTTGTCCGGTTTGTGAGCCATCCTCAGGCGGAGAGTATGCCGGCGGTGGCGTCTCTGGTAATCCATTAGTACCATACGGGCTTTGAGGATTCGGTAAGGTTGCACTCCCTGGGCTTGGCACGGAACCGACAGAAGACATGGGTGATGTCGGATTGACGCCGCCTGTAGAGCTAGCGTTGAAGCCACTAGATGAGTAGGACACATTGTGTGGCATGCTTGGATCGGCCAATTGTTGAAAAGGCAACAGAGAATGGCCAGGAGCATATTCTGAGTGTCTAGGAACCAATACCGGCGGCAGCACTGGGCTCTCCACTCTTTTATAATGATAGGGGTTAATACAAACTTCCTTCTGTTTGGCGGAGAATGGATATTGACATAATTCCAATGGTTTTAGTTCATGGTGCGACTGAAGATCTGGCCATCGCCAGACTCTGCAGTATATCACATGTGGCAAGCCTTTACGGTGGGAAACCTGTAATCTACCATCTAAACTTCGAGGAATTGTTACGCATTTGCTTGGTGTGCCGGGACAGCTCAATGCTCGCTCTAGTTCTTCGATCGCTCCTTTGCGCTTCTTCAGTTTTTTCACTAACGAATCAACCGCTTTCTCCGCCCATTTCTCTTCTTCGTCCCCTTGTTTCCATCCAAGCAATTTTTTCACAGCGGGGCTGGTAAACGAGAATAAACTGTTCAACGAAGACATAGGTCCAGAACTTGAGGTTCCTTCTTCATCATCCATATTCGACAGGTAATGTATTACTTAAAGGATTTATCTACACATAATATTTTTGTCTTCATCTATAAGAAATAATCTTCTTCGTCAGCAATCTGAAATCATACAAATAATGTTCCAATTTCTTAACAAAACTTTAAAAAAGAATGGAAAAATATCTTTCTATATGACTTCACAAAATTATTCTCTCGCATAAATACTTATTGGTTATTATTTTCAACTTCCAACTTATTATTTTCAATTTCCAACTTCAAAAATATTAAATATATTTTTTTCTTTTATATATTTACATATATATATATATAATTATTTACTTAAAATTCTAACAAAATTTACTTCTCAAATTGCAAAGTGTTTAGAACATTATATCAAACTTGAAATTTAAAAAAATATTTCATGCTTTTATTCTATTTTTCTTAATCTTCCATTAACAATAAGTTAAAATTTCAGGAAACACAAAAAGTTTCCCTCTATTGTATATAGCAACAATACTCGACAAAACGTGATTTCGGACGCATCGTCTGTCGCCAATTCGAATTTTTGTGATGCTATTTTTATAAGAATATGTGATATTTTGGCATGTCTCCTCCCACTGCTACGTCAATTCACTGACAAAGAAAATAAAATCCCATAAATATTGCAACTTTTTTTTTTAAATGGAGACACACACATATGGCGAATTTTGAAACGGAAAATCTCGCGCGCGTGCAATATTTAGAGATTACAAGAGAGAAAATCCTTTATATTGCAAAAATATAATAAATTTATAATTATAAAACATTACAAATTTTAATATATAAAAAATACAAGAATAATATATTATTAATTGACTTCAAGAAGACATGAGGAAGTGGAGACACTATTTTCAAACTGAAAACTAAATATTTTGTTATATTTATTCACCAATACTCTATTCGTTAAGCGACTCGGTTCTCTGTAAATATACGTAAAGTAAATGAAATAAATCTTCAACGCAAATACACACACAGACAAAGTAATCCAACGAGTGTTACATCGTGCGTGAGGTTAATTACGCTACGGGGCGAGCACTCTCGTCGAAGAAATCGCCGAGCGGCAGGCTACCGCGGTAAAAAAACTGACGCACCGGAAGCACGCACGCACGCACACATACATACACACACACACACACACAGATTACACTCCGTCTGCGAATCGGTATGCGAAAGTACCGCGCGAGCGATACGCGCTTTCGTTCGGGATATTCGTTCACTTACGCGCTGCTCCTTGGCGATTTGGCATTGTTTTTACCACGATCTCCCACTCCCGCTGCCTCTCTATCGCCCTCGACGCCACGCTCTCGCCATTACGATCTCTCGCCCAGCGCAAAAAGCGCCCGTGGGGTTATCGATTGCGCTGTTCGACTACTGGGCGGCGCGGGGTGCCCAATGGCAATTCCGCGAAAATGAGATGACGATAATATCGCTCGCGAATCAATTTCGCACGGTGAGTGGTCTGTACTCAGGATTCCTCGTGTCTCTCAATTGTTCCGCTGCCATTCTCTCTCGCGTTCGAATGCTCTAACCGACGACGATCACCCAACCGACGATGAGAGAAATGCAAACGGGTCAAATTTTAATATATAAAAAATACAAGAATAATATATTATTAATTGACTTCAAGAAGACATGAGGAAGTGGAGACACTATTTTCAAACTGAAAACTAAATATTTTGTTATATTTATTCACCAATACTCTATTCGTTAAGCGACTCGGTTCTCTGTAAATATACGTAAAGTAAATGAAATAAATCTTCAACGCAAATACACACACAGACAAAGTAATCCAACGAGTGTTACATCGTGCGTGAGGTTAATTACGCTACGGGGCGAGCACTCTCGTCGAAGAAATCGCCGAGCGGCAGGCTACCGCGGTAAAAAAACTGACGCACCGGAAGCACGCACGCACGCACACATACATACACACACACACACACACAGATTACACTCCGTCTGCGAATCGGTATGCGAAAGTACCGCGCGAGCGATACGCGCTTTCGTTCGGGATATTCGTTCACTTACGCGCTGCTCCTTGGCGATTTGGCATTGTTTTTACCACGATCTCCCACTCCCGCTGCCTCTCTATCGCCCTCGACGCCACGCTCTCGCCATTACGATCTCTCGCCCAGCGCAAAAAGCGCCCGTGGGGTTATCGATTGCGCTGTTCGACTACTGGGCGGCGCGGGGTGCCCAATGGCAATTCCGCGAAAATGAGATGACGATAATATCGCTCGCGAATCAATTTCGCACGGTGAGTGGTCTGTACTCAGGATTCCTCGTGTCTCTCAATTGTTCCGCTGCCATTCTCTCTCGCGTTCGAATGCTCTAACCGACGACGATCACCCAACCGACGATGAGAGAAATGCAAACGGGTCGCCTCTAATTCCCCGTAACTTCGAGGGTACACTTCGTTTACACGTAACGTACTAAACGGTTAACGTTCCCCTTCGTTTCCGCGAATGCGCGATCGACTCGTCATCTACGCGAACGCTGATACTCAGCGCGTAAACATCCTCTCTGTGCGACGACACTACGGCGAATGTTTACTCGGCGGATTACGGATTACGTTGTGAGCGATGCCGTTTATAACGGATTTGCAACAACGATGTTTCATTCGTTGAAACGGCGAGTCATCGGACGTCCCGATTGGCTATCGAATAGAGAATTTCTAATTTCGATAGTTTCTTGCAATATCAGCCAATCAGTATATCGGACGAAGCTTGTCATATGAAATTTAATAGCGCCCTGAGAAGTTAGAAGTCACTAGAAATTTCACGCTCCGGTCGCCATGTCTACTCCACTGCGGAATAAATTGCGTTGATAACGCGCGCGATTCGGAGAATGTAAGAAAATATATTTGTCTGTTAGATTTTGTGGCTAAAAAAGAAGCTTCGTTGCTTTTATCAGTTTGAAGAACCAAGAATTGATTGTATCGTAGCAAAGAATGATCGATGTAGATTTGTACACCAAGTTAAAATCACCGCGCATGAATTTAATAAATGTAAGTCTTTTATCAATCTAACGTTCAATATAGAATCTTTTGAACAATGCGAATCTTATGCCCAATCTTTCATTAATTTTTCTGAGAATAGTGTACATAAAAGTTATAAAAACTCGGATTATAAATATTTACACAATTTAATTTTAATTTAAAGAAGTATACTTTGTATTATTTCGTTGCATAATTAATGTGCAGAACACATATTAATTCGTTTTTGCTTCAAATTGATATTATAAAAGGATTGACGTACACAATATGTACAAAAAAGAAAAAAATTTGTACTTTCTCTATTACATCTATTATATACACACTTTAAATATTATAAATATTATAAATTAATTCATGTTTTGTACAGTACAATGGAAGATTCATATTTACATGGACATGCAGTAAAATAAATTGGCAGCTTTTAAATAGAATTACCACATTTTCATAAATCACTTATTAAGAGCGATATGTTTTAGCTCTGTAATAATCTTGTTCGTGAATAGACTTCATTTTCTAACGATTTTATTTGATATCTCGATCTTTAAATAGTTAAGTAAATTATTTAACCTTTTAGTTACTCGAGTTTAAAAATTGAAGTTATTAATAAATAATGATATCAAATATATAAATAACATTAATATTCTTTGGTCTCAAAAATATTTCAAATTTTGACTTAACAGATCTTACTTTTTAATAATTTTCCAATATTTTTCTGCTCTCGTCATCCAAAATTATCGTATTATGATCTTCCGTAAATAAAGTTTCTTGGCTCAGAGCAGGGGTCTCTTGTCGAGAAAATTCGCTAGTTGCCCATAAGAACAAATCCAATGTCTGCTCTGTGCATTCTGCTATAAATCTTACAAATGGTCTCACATCTCCGGTATTTGCCAATTGCAAATTTTCATAATATTTATGACGGTGTTGTTTATGGATGATAACAGGCGGATATCCGGCCCGCATAAGAATCATATTCATGAGCAAGCGGGATGTTCTACCGTTTCCATCGGCAAACGGATGTATATGTACCAATTTATAATGTGCGAGAGCAGCATATCTATGAAACAAATTTTTTGGATTAAAATTCTGAACAAAGTTTTGGATAAAACTAAATGCAAAAGAAGAGATAGTAAATATTAATATAGTAATATCAATTTAGTAAATGTAAAATGAAAAATTTGTTTACCTTACTGGATGCATTCTGATGGCTTGTTCACTATTTAACCATAATACAAATTCCTCCATCAAATAATGTATATCATCTGGACCTGGAGGTATATGGCCACCAACGTACACTTGAGTTCTTCGAAATTCACCACCTTCGACAGGATTCACATGTCCTAGCACACGTCTATGTATTTCTAATATATTTTTTATAGAAATGGACCATACCCTGAATAATGAATAATAAATATTAGAATAGTAACAAGCCTTTGGATTTTCTCATAAAATTAGAAACTTACTTATTGCCCATGGTCGCAATGATATATTTCATGGCAGCATCTAATCCAATGATTTCATTGTGTTCATCAATACTCTTTCCATCAACTGCAAGGCGTGTCTCGACTATAGCTCTTGTCTGTGCCAGATTCATAGTATTTCCTTCAATTCCAACTGTGTGATAAATATGCTGGAAATAAGCCTCTGTTTTAGCACGTATTAATGCGACATTGTCATCAGGTATATTTGACAGTGTATTTCTTTTCTCGTCAATGCGTTTGAGCATTAGTCTGTCGAGTTCCTCGACTACTCGAGCTGTTCTTTGACTGTTTACCAAAGCACCTTCATGATTCGGTTTGTAAGTTAAAGCACGTACGTAAAACTCATTAGCTTTGATTATATTGTTCTGAGTATGCTCTAAAAACTCTCCATAATGATTCAAAACATCTGGATGACAAGGTGCTAATGCCACAGCATGTTGGAACAATTTTATAGCTTTCTTTTGCTTTCCAGATACTTTCATCTCCATTGCTAACTGCAAAGACGTCAGGGCTTCTGCTGTCGATGCCATAGTGTTCTGAACTTGCACTTTATCGAGTTCGGTGTTATCTGATGGAAAGGTGAGTCTGCTGTCGTAGTAAACATTCAAAAAACTTTCCAAGGGAAGCGATGCAAACTTGTTACGGAATTCATTCTCTGAAAAAAAAGGATCAAAACAAACTGTCAGCTCTCATATTCTTATCGTAATTCGCAAATATCGCAATAAATGATATTTTTATCTCACATGTCATGGCAAACGTAATTATATACGTTTATCAACTTTTGCTCACCCTCGTAATCGGTGGGCACGCCGCGTAAATATTGTGCCAGTAATGTGACGACGAAAGCAGCGGCGAGTCCGGATACAAAGACGAACGTGAAGATGAAACGATTCGGTATCATACCGTCCGTGGCGACATTCTTACGTTTGGAGTTCACGTTAACGGCCTTTGTATAGTGCATATGTATGCACTCGTAAATGTACGTAAATGCCAGTAGCATCTTTCCTCGCGGTGATTCTCGACGGACTTGTACCTGATAACAAACCGTGACATGCTTGACGAATATATCGCTCTATGCTCTCATATGACGCAATGCGTTGCCTTCATATCTTGTCAACGAGCGGCAGCTC